ACAACATAAAGATGGAGAGGGCATATTGCATGAGGAAAAGCTGAATATGAGAAAATAGTTGCTGTGCTGAGAATAGGATATTGTTCTACTTGTCTATAAGACAGATTGAGGAGCGAGGGGTAAGGGAGAAAGGCTTTAGCGGAAACTGTGGAAGCGATAGTTGAGGTGCATACAAAAGTAATGCCTTCACATTAAGTTGGATCACTTGCTAAGACAGGAGAAAACGAACACAGGAGAGCAAGAGATGGAGGTGAGAGTGGAAAAATGAGGGAAGAGTTTAGGAGGAGGGTGGTACAGAAAGAGGGGAGGAGGGGAATAAGAAAAAGAGGATTTGAGGGAGGAGCGAGGAGAAGAGAATTTGTCCTGGCACTCCAGAAAACGACTCTGCGGGTGTAAAAATAATCTACGGTAGCCACCTGAGAGGCTGCAGTGTCACAGTGCGCCCTAGTTTAATTTAGACCCAATGCATATGACATGATTTTTAACAGATTTTGTCCCAGTTAAAGTGTTGTACTGTATTTTAGAAGACTAAAGTAAAAAAAAATCACAGTAGAGTTATTGCCAGAGGTATATTCAGAGCACCAGTGTGTTAAAAAAAAAAAGAGTCTAGGACAGCAACTTTTGTACCTAATTAATTGACATTTGTGTACATTCACCTTTGTTTCAGCACACACGAGGAACTTCTTTTTATAGTGAAACATATATCACTGTGTCAGATGCTGCATAATTAGAAATTAATAATGTATAATTATAATGACTACGAATTTATAATTATACACCATTCTTCACACCAAGGCCAGAGTATGAGAGGGTTAAAAAGATACATGTGTGCAGGAAAACATGCGAAAAATACAAGTGTCATGGGCACACACACTAAACAAAGTCATGCAAGCAGGCATTCGTAAACACATATGTCCTTACACACGCACAACATGGCATTTTAGAAAAAGCAGGAGCACAACACAGATTGCCAGTCTCATCTGTCCATCTCTGTCTCCATCTTTGTCTCCTTCTTTGGCTCTCTCGTTCCAGATAACCTTTTCCCTCAACACTGTTTCTAACTAACAGCTAGGATTGGCTAGTTTCTCACACACACAGTCGCAAACTGAAGTGTGTTAATGTGTGAAATAGAGGGAGAGGCGATCAAAAGAGTTCTCAGGATTTTCTGTGAAGGCTGTGTTCCTCCATTTTGGTGTTTCTGTGATACCTTAATAGTAAAATTTTAATATGCCTTTTAAATCTCTAATCGTTAATTACTATCAATCTTGGACTCGTTGCACAAAGACATTAGGTCAATCTGTGTTTTTCTCTTAGACTTCTCAAATGCTACTTTGTGATTGTTATTTAAAAAGGAAAATCAAAAAGTTTTAAACAGCTCTGTTTCTGAAATAACAATTTATGACATCTGCTGATAAAAGGAAAACATGACTCATAAGTTATGGAGTAAACAGTGACAAATGAAAGAGATTTAAGAGACTGCAGCAACATCTTAGAGAAATAAATATATACCATTTACACTCCCACAACACTAAGCTTTAAATATACGCAGTAAAATGTCCTTATACGTATTAAAATAATTCCAAAGGCATACATTTTTACTAATGTGAATGCAGCTGAGCACCTTAAAAGGCTTGGTCAGATGTGCTTTTTATTTTCAAAAGAGTCTTAATTCACTCTGAACACTTAATAGTTACTCCTACTGAAAGGTCCAGTGTGTAACA